CGTGGGGATTAGGGAGGCACGTCGCCCATCGTGCCGTGATAGGGGCACTTTGATCCCCCTGATGGGATCTGCTGCATCCCTGACACCGGGAGACCGTCCCCTCGTCCAAGCAGGCTATCAAAGGGTCACAAAATCGGCCKTTTATGAGAAGCCTGTTTGTGTTAGGCTGCTCTCTGCAATTCAGCAACTTTTAGTTCCCATTTTTATAACTATCAGGACTAAGCAGAAGGCTCTTTATCTCGCAGGGGGCCCAAGCCCGAGCTTTCAGTTGGCATTGCTAGGGTGTAGGATGTCTCCTACATGTACACAAAGTGTTGCATTGAGCAGYGGTAGCTGCAAGATACCTTGCCTTACATTCATGACACGACACACAGAGCAGCTAGTCTGGACTACTTTTACAGGCTTGACATTTCAGTAACAGACACTATATGGGAATTGCAGCAGCTGCAGCTTTGTAAACTGAAGATCTGGGGGAAAATAAAAAGAAATACCACTACAAACTTTAAAAGACCTTTTCAAAATGTTTCAAGTGTGAGTTTTTCATGTAGTGTGGTGCAAGGCAACTTTTGGTGAGTGATAGGAGAAATGCTTTGTAAGTCCTTGCTGGGGAAGGAGGCGGCGACGCTGCTGCCACTTGTGAACAGGCAGCTCTGCCGCCTCCTCACGTAACTGAGCGCATGGGGGGCTCGCAGGCTGTGCACACAGGCACCTGTGGGCATGTCTATGCAACCCTTCAGGATTACTTTTAGCTCTATGGAAACAAAAAGATGACACAAAATCAGAAAAGTTTGCAAAAGGGTCTATATCCTTCAGCTGCCATGGAATTTGAATTCCAGGCCATTTTAAGACAAAACATACTATTGAGATAAATGAAAAACAAAGGAAAACAAATCCAACACTTTAAGGAGAGCTGAGCGTCTCCCATGTGAGCTTGCTTGGGACATGATGTGCATGACTCCCACATCACTCCTAGTTTTCTGCCTCTACAGTTCCCATGATCCAAGAGGGAAGAAAAACCATCTTTGTTCACCCTTCATGCCCTTCAGTACACTGTCTGCATCTCTCACTTTGCTTGGTGCCAGCGGATCGTGCACTGCTCTTCCCCAGCAGCTGCAAGGCTGAGAAGTTACGCTGCAGGGTAACTCGGTACTTTGCGACCATGAATCCAAACATGGAAACGTTGATGGTAGCTCAGCACACACACTGGTCTTTAGAGAAAATGAGGATGCGCAGGCAGGTAAGTGCAGAATATTCTTCAACTGTATAATCACCTGCTCAGTAAATACCTAGACACGTGGCGGCTGGATTGTTCCTCCCTCTTCTTCACAGCTGGATTTAACCTGTTATAACTCTCCTGACTCTAAAGCAACTGAGCCTCAGTGCAGGTGAGGTGAGAAGCAGGCCAAGAAGAGAGCTAAGAAAGGGCAGCTTTTGTATCTGTTTGCTTGCATCTCTTTGAAATAATACTTCTGCTTGCTTAGGTCTAATGAACTGACCAGAGCTTTATTTTGAACCAAATCCAAGACAGGCATGGTATAAGAAAAGACACCTGTAGTCATGAAAAATGCACAGGGAATGAGGGATCTCCAACACTCCATAGGAAACAAAGCACCTCCTGGGTAACCCTGGGCTTCCTGTCCACTCCTAGAGCTCACGAAGTCCACACCAATGTCTGAATTCAGATCTCAGTATAAAACAGCTTCTGTCTGTAATTTAAGTAAGTATCAAGTATGTCAAGATGAGTAGTTCTCAGAATTAGGCCTAAAGTACTCTAGCTGCCAAGACCTGAACATGACTATAGCAATGTAAAACTTAACTGGTGCCTTTCTTCAATCAGTAAACACCCTGATAATAAAGACCTGTGATTATCAGGTACCCATATGAATGAAGATTTAACCTTCACACCTAATTACGTTAACATAGTTGTTTACTGCTAGAGCTGTTCCAGGGAGGCAGGAATGACAATATGCCAGTGATGAAGCGTTCCACTCAAGTTGCTCCTGTATATTTTAGGTAACTTGGTGCCTTTTAAGAACAGCAGGATAAAAACAGTATTTCAGAGTCAGCTGCTAAAGAATGGGTCTTCCTGGATTATTTCCCAGACTGTATGGGTCTTATGGAAAATGGTGGCTTCTGTAGACTAAGGGCAATTTCACCAGAAGGTCATGATGCTTTCATGTTCTGCATGTGTCATCTGAAGTATAAAAATATGAATTTCAAAATAAAAAGCTATATCCACCAAGAGGACATTTCACAGATGGCAAACCTCAGTAAATTTTCATTCCCTGTTATGCATTAAGCCAAATATTGCCCCAAAATGCGGTGGCAAATTTTAAAATGTACTGACAGAAAATCAAAAAAGAAATACATATTTCAGGATGTGGATACTGGTATATGACTGGAGTATCAATGGCCATTATAAGTTCTCAGAAGCAAAATATTGGTAAGGAGTTCAATTATGCTCAGTCAATACTTAATTCTGAGTATGTCAATTTCATCTTTGATGTAATCCATTTGGTTTCACTGATAAATTTCGGTCCCTCATGATAAACATGATAAGCACATGGTCTTATTGCTTAAAATACTGGCTAGACAGATGCTCTTTTGTTATGTTTCATAATCCATAGAAGTACCAAATCTAGAGATGCTGACTAGCTGAGCCTGTAATGCTGCTGCTGAATACTGTAATAGATACAACAGAGCTGAAATTTGTGCCCTTCACTTACAGAAACATTACTACATCTATGCAAGTCCCAGCATAAGGAAGAGAGCAGCTCTTGTTAAAATGCATTCTGTGCATGCACCATTTGCTAGGATTCCACTTGGTTTCCACCAAGTGCCTGTTTGCTTTTATTGCACCGCTTGCCACTGAGCATCTCTCCACAGCTCCCAGCGTGTGCAACGCTCCCATGCTGAGCTGCTTGTTTGCAGGGCAGGAAGGGCTATGCAGCCAGCCAGCCCAGTGACACACAGGGCCCAACGAGCACCCTTGCAGAGTCACCGTAGCCTGCAGAAAGCAACATTTGATTCCACGTGCATGACTTGGTAGGTCCTTGACTGTGGGCAGCGAGAGCAGGGAGAGGAGCAAAGCCCAACGTCACCAGCCCTGCTGGGGACACCGGGGCATGAGAGACGGGTCAGCCACAAGGATGGACTCTGCACCCCAAAGACCCTAGAGCTCCAGCCAGCATAAAACTGCACTGGCAACTGCCATGGCTCTGTGGAGAAACGGATTAAGTTCATGGGAACTGTGGAGAAGACACAGGCTCAACAGACTTAATGCACAGTCAGCTCCATTGAAGGCATTACAAGCAGAAACAAAGCTAGACAAATGAACTGCTCAAGTTGGGTTTTCGTCTGTTTGTTTGTTTTGCCCTGAGAAGGAAGGGAAGAGAAAGCAGAAATACTGACTTGGAATATGACTGAGTTTCCTGATGGGGAAATGCTGTGGAATAGAATAGAAGACAACTTTTATAGAGAATCTTTTCTTTCCCCCACCAAATAATCCTGTAACTTATAATAATGGATCTTCTATGAAAGCCAGTGACAAGGCTGATAGAGGGAACAGGATTTGTTAGTATGTGTTTTAGGATATATATTTTAGGGTATAGAAATGAATTTTATATATTTTTATTTTAATACTCTAAAATATATACCCTAAACTTCACATAATTCATTTCTATCTAATTTGMAGGTTTTCCAGATAACTACTAGTAGTATCTAACAGGATTTTTGTAATTTTTTTCCATTGGGAGCTGCAGTTGGGATACTCTAGTAGAGTGTTAGTGTGCTACTGCAGGTAAAGCACAGCTGTGTTTAGGAACATCATGTCGAGTTAAGTGATGCTCTCGGTTTCACATAAGCAATGTTGCATAAGTGTATGTGGGAGAGAAATTTTTGTAAATGGGCTTACTTCAACATAAAAGAGGAAGAAACTCACACCACATATGTTCACAGATAATAGAAATGCAATTTTCACACATTTATGTATGTAATACAAAGAATGCTTCTTCCCACATACTGTTTGCTACACAGACAGATACATACAAGCAGAACATCTGGATGTGCCCAGACCCTTCTGCTTTTGACACTAATGAAAATTTTGCTGTGGCTTCAGTAAGGGTGTGTTGAAAAGGAAACTGTCATAACCAATGTATGTGCTGTGTCCCCTGACTCACACCCCATGCTTATTCCTGGACTAGCTAGAACTGAAAAGAGCTTGCACTTCTCATAGGGCTATGGCTATGCAGAGACTGGGCCAGGGAACAAAAGCTGCTGAAGTATGTTTGGAAGTGGTATTAGTCAAAAAGAGGCAAAAATAAATTTTTTAAAAGAAAGAATTAATCACTCACTTTTGGAATGATAAGCATGGGTTATCAGCCTTGAGAGAAATTTTCCAGTAAGTTATTAGCAAGTTATTGGCAAAAAGGGCCCTCTCATCCATAACTCTAGCTAGTCCAAAGCTAAAAATAGATGAAAAAGAAAACAAATGGGGTTGGATCAAATAGAAAAGATACTTTAGAGTAATCTCACCTCTCTTCTCTCATACATTGCAGAATCTACAAGATACTGTGTCTTCCAATTTAGGATAGTGCAGAAGAGCAGATAATGTGACCTCACTCACAACTAAAAAATACTTAGGGGGTCAGCCAGTGAAGTTAAATTTCTCTTTGAGTGGCCTTACTCTGGTAACAATAAAAGACAGTTAACATTTATTCATAGGTTGTACTGATTAGGAAATATCTCTACAAACACAAGTTACTTAGAAACAGCAAGTCTGAAATAGGAGAAAACACCAAGAGAAAAACAAGCTGTAAATACATTTCAAAAATGTGTTCTTTTTTTTTTTCTTTTTCTTTTTTAACTTTTTTTTTTCTCAACTAGCACCATCTGTACACAAGAAAGTATGAACATAAATGTTTGGATAATAAAGATTTGCAAGGCACTTAAACAGTCTTTTCTGGGTAGGGCTTTTTTTTTAATGAACCTCTCAGTGGAAGTCCTACAACCACCTTTCTCCTCCTCCCTCAGTTTATGTAGAGGAAGAAATCTCTTCTGCCAGTAGTTTTTTTATTTACAGGCATGTCCTTAAAGGTTCCTCAAAGTGCTCTTTTACTCTAAGAGAATCAACATTCTCATATCTCCATTTTTTTTCGTGCTCATCCTTTTTTTTTTTTTTTTTTCTGATCTTCAGTATAACAAAGCAAATCTCTCATACACACAACTGAGACTTGACTCGAACCTTCATCCTCATTCTGTTGTCTTTGGGATGCTAATCAGAAGGAAAAAGGAGGATGGCCGAGATTCGCGTTGAAGTTCTCCTGAGCTTCATTCTCTACCGACGTCTCGAGGTGATGTCAAAGCAGGTGATCATCATGAGGTGGGCCTTGCAGAAGTTGACACGATTTTCCAAGCGCTCAGTCACGCATTCCAGAGCCTCTAGGTATTCTAGAGAATCCAGCTCAAATACCTGCTCCAAGTCAACTGTGGGAAATATAATACGTAGACAGAAAAAGCAATCAAAACCAATGCTGGGTGCTGTGAAAGGTTAAACACAAGCTTTGAGCCCGTTGGTAATATAGACAACATTATCTCTGGCTTGCCACTATCTTTAAAAGTTGCCATTTCTATTTAATGGCTATTAGAATGGTACACTAGCTTGCTGATACTGAAAAATCCTGTTAATGCTGCACGGAGTCCTTTTTAGAGTGATGAGCTCTGCCATCCTCTCCAGAGCTGTAGATGTATTTTACCTCTCTGCCACCCATTCATTCCCTCACAAAAGCCATCAGAATTATTCTTCCAGCAATCTGCCTACAAACATTTTAATCTTTCATCCATGTGGTTGATCTAATGGGGAAATTCAGCAGTGAAGTGTCAATCAGGGTAAGTTAAATCTGTCTGCATTCATTTTGACTGTCTRCATTCAGGGCCTGCTTCAACACCATGCTTAAGCAACCTGTCAATGCTAAGCACATAGTTCAGTTCACCCCAGTTCAAGCCATGTGTATAAGAGGCACTGACTCCATCTTGTGCTGAACAGAAAGACATTGAACTTTGCCCGGTGAGAACAAATCCTTTGCTGAATTCAGAGCTGAGAATCAGAAACCCCTCAGACTACTTCCACTTGCCCTTTCTAACAGCCATTAAACAGGGATCTGTTTATGTCCTTGTGTCCTTGTGGACTTTTTTTTTCTAGAACTCTGTGTTATTCACTCATCTGCTTCCTAATATTTAGAAATTATCGTACAACTGCTGCAATGCTCTACATCTTTTTCCTTCTTGGTGCTGAGGTCCTTCTTCATTTGAACGTGAATGTCCTTTAATCTCTCTGAACTTTATGTGCTTACTCTTCACCTAAGCCCACTGCTGCCAACAGACAAATTTGCCCCACAGTGCTATTCTGTGGAACAGAAGTGCAGATTTATAACATTGCTTATATGTCTGAGTGATCTGAGGCCTAAAAGAAAAAAAAAACTCATTTTCAGGAGCTGTGGACTGAAACGTGTGAGCGTTAATCTACCAGTGGCAGTATTCACCACTACAGTGCTGTACCACTGCACCATTCAGCTCTCAGGCAAAAAGGACCGTTCAGTTCTACTGTCAACATTTAATAAGAATTATAGGAAATAGTTCTAGAAATGCAGTCAATCTAAATCTTACCCTTAGGTCATATGTCAGCTCTTTTTAGTTTACAAATCCAGTAGCTTATATCTCATTCTCAGCAAGCATTTCTGCACCCCTCACCTATCCCCAGTGAAATAAACCAAAGGACACCTAATAAGTCCAGGCAATAAAACAACATGCTTACATTCACTGAGCCATTTATTGGGATCCAGCATCAGGTACTGTTTGGTCACCTCCAGTTCTTTCATTAGCCACTCATACTTGGCCTTGACCTCGGCAATTCTCTGCTGGCGATGCTCCAGGATTTTCAGCTTGGCATTGAAACATATCAGCTCCTGCCAACCAGGGGAAAGGAGTAGGGAAGGAAGAGGTGAAGAGAAGAAATATCCATGCTAGATTCACTGAGCCAAGTGATCTTCCAATCAATAATGCCAGCAATGACCCGCTTACCCTGCAAGCATATGAATCACTGCACAAAATCATCTGTCATCTGTTTTATATTTATTGCTGTTGTTTGATTTTGATGTTTCTCATCAGTGAGTTTTGGAGACTTTGCAGTGAAAATTAATAATACACCATAATAATTAATAACAGACAGCATCTTGAAATCAGATTAACTCTAGCAAAACATTTCTGTTATTTGTCACCCGCAGTATTGGCTAAGAAAGAACTAAGCACTTGGGAGAAGGAAAACCATTGCTTGATATATTAAAATCTTAAGTACGTCTCTTGTGCTTTGAGCGTAGGAAATGCAGTAGTCATTAAATAAGCAAACTAGTAGCAATATCAAATTTAAAATGCCCTTACACAAAAGAAGTATGCTTCTATGAAAAACTCTAGCAATTTACAACCATTAATAACAAAGATGTATTTTCTGCAAAAATTGCAACACAGCAGCGGGACAGGCTGCCGTGTTGTCCACAGAAATCCAAACTGACTTGGAATGACTTCTGAATTACGGCAGCCACCGAGATGTGCAGTAAGTGACCTACAGGGAGGCTCTGTTACCCTGGCTGGACTGGGAGCAGTCCCAGCAGCAGAACCAGCCTCCCCCAAGCTTGCAGGAGGCTCTCAACACTGCTTGGCCTTCTGTTCTGTAGACACATCTGCTGTGTGTGGCAGAAAGCAGCCCTGTCTCACCAACTGCAGTTTTTCTCCAGATGAAACCATGTCAARCAACATCATAAACAGTCAAACAAAGTGACAGAAGCCATAAAGTACAATGCCTTAAAACAATAACTAAAGAAACTATATGTATAGTTACTGCAAAATTGGGGCTATCCCACCAACTTCCCAACTACCCTTCCTAATTGCATCTCTCAAGAAGTGACCTTTATAATTTTCTATTTTTTTTCTTAACCTGGGAGAGGGGGAGGTTTGCAGAAAAGRAAATGTTAATAAGAAGAAATTAGCTATCCTGAGGACAATATTATTAAGGCACTGGAGGCACCACTGCCTTGAACGACAGATGTGACAAGAGATGCTCGACCACAGGAGCCACCAAGACATCAAGATCACCAAGGGTAAAAATACAAGGGGTCAATCTGTGCCAGCTCCCACTGAAGAAGGCATGACTTGAGTTGCAACTGATGTTCAATGAGACACAGGTTTTGCTGCTTGTTGAATTAGTCATAGCATTAGTCCTAGAGCCCCCTCTGACTGCATAGTTTGAAATAGCCTGTCCCAAGAGGAGGGAGACAGATGACATGAACTGCACTCACCTTGCTGTCCCCACCTCGTCGCCGCTGAAGTCGTTCCACGTCATCTATCTCATACACTTTGATTTCAAAGGGCTCACCCAAGCCCCTCTGTCCACTTCGCAGAGGTCCATCCACCCAGCGGACCCCAGGGCTATTGGCAGGTTTCCTGGCTGGGGAAGCTGTATCGAGTGATAAAGCTGGAATAATCCTCCGCCTCTGTGAACCTACAAACACAGAAACTGTCTTATTGCATTAGCACACACAGAAGGAAACAGACTCCACAGAGAGGCCACGGGCATTTGGGCTGCCTGAAGATGGGATATGAGGTTCCCACTCACCTCTCCACAAGTCAGAGCCCAACACCTACCTAGATACCTGACCCCAGGAGTTGATTCCCCGAGATCCCACACACCCGAGAGCTTCCAGAGACGGCACTTGCTTCACTTTCCTTAGGTCTCAGTGTGTACGGGTATGCTGAAAGACCATGAAAGGCCACAGCACAGCTTGGATCTGTGCTCATGAGGTTCTGACTTTTACAGTCTCTTTATTGATGTTGACTCTTACAGACAAAGGACAAGCATTGGCAGCCACTGCACAGTCCATCTTGACAATTTTTTTCTTGTAAATATAGCACAAAAAGCATGTTGACACCCAAATTCAACAAGCACGCTGGCACCGAGTGCCAGAATACCTCCACCTGTCCTGTCCATAGCATCCTCCTAAGGTGGCTTGAGCAGGAAGAACCTAGAGAAGACAAAATGTGTAAACATGCCCTAGCACGGTGGCTGATGCCAAAGTAGCGTTAGCCTGGTTTCTGTTCAGCAGAATAGGCCAAGGTCTAGACAACAGCAGCAGTGAGTAGCTGGCAGAATGGCTCATCCCCACGCCTGCTACATCACTGGGGGTCACGCACACATTTCCTGCTTTGTAAAACCAGCACAGTGCATGGGAACTGCGCAATAGCTGAAAATGCACCGGGCTGACCAAGCCTGGGCCATATGGAAACCACCTGCCACGTGGGTCGCCAAGTCAGGGCCTAGGGCAACGCGAGGGAAACCAAGTATGTCACTGGCCTCATGGCAGCAGGGAGGACGCTGAGGCAGGCACATATGGGGTGTTGGGAGAAAAAGCACAAACAGAGGAAAGAAAACAAGATCATTTCATTTCCCCGCTCAGTTTAGTACACTCAGAGACATGGGTGCAAAAACATAAAGGTCGATTTTGTAGATGACAGCTCCTGAAGCGTCCCCCATAGGAGAGGGCAGGAAAGGAGAGAGTGGGAGAAACCAAAACCAAAAGCCAGAGCCAGCAATTTTGAATGAAACTATTAACTGATTCTCTTGGCAGTGAGCACAAAGCCTCATGCCAGCAGGGAAGAGATGCAGGATGATCATGCAGATTTTGTTTTAAAAACAAGACAAAATGATTTAAAGAAATCTCTGTAACTATACTGATTGAAATTTAAATGTAAATAGCTTCAATATGTCTGCCAAGTTGGTGCTTGAATGAAAATAAGAGCAAAGAAGAAGGGAGGGAGGGAGGGAGGGAGGGAGGGAGAGAGGGAGGGAGGGAGGAAGGAAGGAAGGAAGGAAGGAAGGAAGGAAGGAAGGAAGGAAGGAAGGAAGGAAGGAAGGAAGGAAGGAAGGAAGGAAGGAAGGAAGGAAGGAAGGAAGGAAGGAAAAAGAATTAAAAAAATCTGCTAGTTGCCTAGTTTTGGGGTTTTCAGGTAACAAAGCAATAGCTGGTTTCAGTCAGGTGTATCTATTTCCGTGCTGACTTGGCACAAGCCATCACATCTTGTCCCATTGATTTCAGAGTGGAGCAGGCTCCCAGAAACCAACAGTTGTACTAACCTGTACAGGCCAGCTTTAAAAGCCCACACCAGAACAAGGGAAGCCTTACAAAAGCCAGTAAGTACAAGCTATTTTAGGCCTGTCCTAATGCCCCCTTTAAGTCAATGGCAGCCTTCATTATGTTCAATGAGCTGCAATAAGATCTGAAGTGAAACTGCCCTGTTGAAAGGAGAATCGGAGGAATGACAGAAGGGAAAGCAAGAACAGACCCATTACCATAGCTAAAGGCTTGCAGCAATAACCCATGTCCTTTCAGAAGACACCAAGAGACTGAAATGCTAAGGGTGACTCTTGTCAGCAATGCTAGAGAGAAGCAACCAAAAGGCAAGAGCAACTGGGAGCTTCAAGGGAGGTAAGACACAGTGGCAGACTACTAAAATTTGCTATGGGCAGGGATCCTGCAAAGTCTCCAATCCCTCCTGATAAACAAGCCTTCCACTTGGTTAGATGTGAAGGTGTATCCCAACTGTCACTCAAATCGAGATTTGAAAAAAAGAAAGGATTTAGGCACTAAATTCTTTTAAAGAAACATTTTTAAGCTCTTGGCCATGGTTTTTCACAAGAGCAGACTTTGGGGACAGAATTTGTKTGGCGTTAGCGATGATCTCTTATCTGTCTTGGCTATTCGTCATTTTTCCGACCCAGCAGGGCTAATGCAAACATCAGCTCCGAACCTCCGGTGTAATGCAAAGCAAACACAGCTAAGCCCTTCCTACATTGTGCCCCTGTGCTAATGGTCACATACACAGGGGGAGTGTTCGAATGCTGCCTGCAGATCTGCTCTAACATTTCAAGGAAGCATTTGAACATGCTGGAAATCTGTTCTGTCCAACTGTGACATGGACTAAGGCTCTGCCCTTCCTGCCATGTGTGACGTCTCCTTTCTTTCTTCTTCTTTTCCCACTGTGGCTGTTTTCCGTAGCACTGCCTTCCCAGAACTGCCTCCATAATGAGGATCAAAGCGCAGGCCTGAAGCGCGCTGGGAAGGGCAATTCCCCTGAATGCAGAGGGATGCCACTAGACCAGCATCAGGCTTTTATTCAGAGCAAAGCAAAGCAGACGTCAACGGGAATGAATTACAGGGACAATGGCAAATATTCTTGCACTCAGCAGCCATTCATACCCACTTGGCTCACTGGAAAACAGCAGCCCGTGGTCTAGACGGAGGCTCCAAGCTGAGGCTCCGCGTGGCAAGGCCAGTGCCAAGCGGCGAGGCAGAGGTGGTGACTGTGGAGACACCGGCTGCGCTAACAGGAGCTGGTCTTGTTTCCCCAGGCAGAGCTCCCCCCGGATGGTCTGTGCTTGTCATAGAAGCCCGACGGGTCTCCGTGCGCTCGGAGCGGGTGGGCAGGGAGCCCTCGCGCAGGTGGAGGGACCCCCAGGGCTGCCGGACTCACCGGGGAAGCTGGGCGGCTCCGGAGGGCGGCGGAGGCCCCTGCACCACAGCACGGCCGGCGCCCGCCGGAGAGGAAAAAGGAACGAGGACTTGTCTCCATCTGAGCCTTGGAGGCTGACTCGGGATGATTTACGTGAGGCTCATGTGCTTGGGGAACAAAAGGCAACGCAGATCTCCCGCGTGCTTGTAGTGACGCCAGACACAATCCAGTTTATTCCGAGTCAGCCCTGCCTATCAGCCCAGGTAGCGACAATAACTGTGCCTCGTGACAGGGGACTCCTGGTTCCTCCTTTTATTCTTCTTTTTTTTTCCTTCCCTGATTTCACATTATCTGGGATCAGCGAGGAAGACAGAAGCAAAGCAGTTTCAGGTTGAATGTCACACAGCAGTTGACAGCTTGCTCATCCATGATAACGCGCACAGAAAACGATTAAATTTTTAAAATGAATACAGTTTTCCATTTACATGCAAAACACCTGTTTGAAGACACAAATTTCTTGATAGTGCTTGATGGGGTTAGGAACTCATACATTTTGACTGTATAATTAATAAAATGCTTTGTAGGAATTACAGCAATCCTGTCCTCTATCTCCCTGCATGTCTTGTGAAGGCAGTGGTCAGCCGGGCTGCTCAGCACATAGCAGCACATGATGAGGTCTCTCCTCCTGCCTCTCCCCCCATCCCTTGGACTGGGTTCGCTTTTCCCCAGAATCCTTGTCACACCAGTAAGTGGGAGTCACACCTTTTCCATTAAAAAAAAAAAAGAATCAAAACGAATAACAGTAGGTTGAAACCAGTAACAAAATGTCTTCTCCATCCATCTTCAAGGGTACGTTTTTCACTCAGCTTGAGGTAATCCACACTCTGAATAATCCCTCCTGAGTTAGGCTAGCTTGAGCATGAGCAACCACACACAGGGCTGAAAATGCACGGAACACAAATCCATCTTAGCAGCTGGTGAGCAGTGCTGCCTTGCGCGCTAGGTCAAGCCCTGCCAAAGAGTGTCCCATTTAGAATTATGGTAAAAGGAGGAACGCAGCAGTGAAGGTGTGTTGTGCGAGAGCAGGTCTCAAGAGCAGCACTGACGCTGCAACATGCGTCAGCAAAGACAAGCCCAGAGAAGTCTTCAGCCCTAAGGTATGAGAAACACAGACCAAACTAGCTAAGTCTGCAAAGGTAACTTTAAGGATAAGAGCAGATTTCACTGAGCTCAGCAAAACCACCCAAYTTCACAAAGATGTGTGCTCATAAAAGTATGTGTTGACCACGGCGGAAACCCTAAGAGGTCTGGTTTTGCTTAAGCACTGTGTATTTTGGAACATTTGCTTTGGATTGCTTTCCAAGCATGCATTCCACTCTGAGCATCTTTTGTGTGAAAAAGGTAAAGCACAGAGTCCAAATGCAAAATCTCCATGAAAAGATGCACGATGCATGTATCTTCAAAACAGGATGCATCTGAATTGAATGCAAAGCAACTGCTATCCTAGGAATTTCAAAGTGTTGCAAATAGAAAATGAAACGGTAACTTGACAGATCATAATCTCAGAAGTTTACAATGTGCACTCAAAGGCTCCAGGGCCCACTAAGTATTAYGGGAAGTACAATCGCCTCTGTGCACAGCCCTCACTGTGCAGCATTTTGTTGCTGTGTCCATAGACATTGCACCTGAACTGAAGGTGATTTAGAAAACCCATCCCCATCCAAGGAGAACAGGCTGCTAACCTCACACCGTTTTCCCGGGGTTCCATTTCCAAGGAATGCTCTCCCTGCAGTGGCAATAGCTTCAGCTCTCCCGTAGCTTCACACCACTTCCTTACTGGCAAAATCAGCCCTTTTCTCCCTGCTGTTCCTCAGTATCTTAAAACTGGGCTTCTGCTTTGGTGCATTCCCCACTGATTTCCCTGCTTWCTCCCATTTCCTAGGGGATCTGCCTCATGGTCAATCGTATGTGATGGGACCAGCTCCTTTCGATTCT